AAGACAACACTCGACGGCGGAGAGGAAGGCCCTCAGCTGACCACAACGAAGCTGCGCAACGATATTGACTGCGGATGAGTGAGAGCAAGGAGAGACGACAACACTCTACAGCGGAGAGGAAGGCCGATGGATGGCGAAAGACGATGATGAGCTAACGGTAGGTGGTAGACATCCAGCAGATAGATCTGCAGTTTCTCCTGTTTTTTTCTTTTTTTCTTTTTTTTCCAGGGGCCATGCTAATCTTCTCTGTATCGTTCCAGATGTCCCGAAAGGACTGGATCTAAAGTTTCCGAGCTGAGGTCCATGCACTTCTTCCTGCGGTCTACCTCGGAGAGCGACGCTGCAAAACGGGCCGCGCTCCCCGCGCGCGGCGCACCGAAGAGAAAGCACCAAGACCACTGCAGGCACCCTCGGCGGCTACACCCTCGCGCGAATCGGTCACAGACCAGGGGGCCTGGGCGGGCCGTCGACGGACGGACCGCTACCGCTCCTCGCACAAATAGCAGCAGTGAAAACAAAGCGAAGCTGGAGTCCCACAAACATTTATTTATCTAGCGTGGTTGTGGCAACGCGCGACAGGCGTCGACCGTCCACGACGACGGCATCTGACGGTGCAGGTTTCGGCCCGCTTCTTTTTTTGAGAGTTCGATGCAGATTCGGGAAATCTCGTTCGGTTTTGGCCGCCGCCGGGATGGCAAGCTGGCGGAAGAGAGGCGGCTGGGTTGCTTTCTGCCACGGCCGTGGTGGCAATCACGGGGAAAGCCCGCGACTCAGGGTCATGATGGTGGTGGGCCCGTGATGGCGTGGCATCGTCTGTCTCTGTCAGCGAAGAACGGTAGACAAGTTCGGGTTGTACTGAACCCTGGCCATGGATTAAGGAGATCAACGGCCAGAAACTAACACATCGCACCGAGTGGGACCTCACCCCGGTGCTGCCGAGTAGGGGCTGACGACGACGGGCAATAGGGGAAGAACTTGAAGTCCACTACGGGGAAAAAGGGTGACAACCAAAGAGAAAAAGGGGCCCTTTTTGTGTAACTTCGGTAGAGTCACAAAAACGCGTTATACTGGGGTGGTTACCCAGTTAGGTTAGCGGAAGGACGTAGGAACTAGGACCAGTAGTGGTTAGGTGAGTTGAGTCTTGACACGGAAGCATGTTTTGGAAGAGTGGTGGTGGCTATTTACAGGATAGCTCGTTGTTCGAAGGGGACACGTGTGGTTTAAGCAGTGTTGTTGGGGTCTGCCCCACGGTAGGCTGATGAGCCCTGGGTAAGGGTTTGAGTTGGTGTCGTTTTTGTTCCGGTTGTTTGTCACTATGGGCCAAGATACAGTTCGCTCGTCAGTTCGCAGCCCGTCAGGGGTGCGTTTTATGCCCCTGAGACATTTTTCGTCGTCGTCATCAAACGGTGCGGTAGCTGGAAGGGTGGTGTATTTGCTGGGGGTCCAATTCGTGGGAAATAGGCAGTTTTCGCTGTTGGAAGACCGATAGCTGCCCGCAGGAGGTCGGGGAAGCCGAATCCTAAAAAGTTTTCGCTGTTGGAGGACCAGTAGCTGCCCGCAAGCGAACGGGGAGGCCGGGTCCTGAAAATTGACATTCCGCTGAGTTAGGGCGGGTTTTTAGGGGAGGCGCCGACTGGAAGGCGCAGCGGGTCCAATCTTGCAATTTTCGAGCGCCAACTTTGGCGATTTTTCGTACGCAGAATAATTGGAGAAAAGATCTAAAAAATTGATATCGGGTAGGCCAGGTCGTGATCTTTCCAGGCAAAATATCAACAAAATAAAATAAAATCGTTTAGACCATGAAATAAATGTAGCGCCAATTCGTCACTTTTTCCATTTTTGGCACACGACAACTTGTGGGCCAATGGGAAAAGTACCCCTATTTCAAAAAAAATTCATGCTCAGAAGAACTCGTAAACAAGTCTGAAAACTTGAGGGTCCGTAGATTTTGTCATGATTTTTTTAGGAAAAATGTTTAAAAAAATTAAACAAATTGTCTCAACCGCGAAATAGCTTATAGCGCAAATTTATCCCATTTTCCATATTCACCACTCTGCCGGTTCTCCACTCTGTGCTACTGGTAGCCCTCATGGACTTGTGCTACCGGTCCCCCGAATTTCCAATGTCGGATAGAGTGGTGGTTTGAATTCGAAGCCTATTGTGGTCGAAATCGAAACAGGTCAAAAGCAGCGGAGGCCGCTCCCGTTCCCTCTGCGTTCACAAAGTGATAGTCTCCCTGTGTGCGCGGGGAGCGTGGTGCCTTATCGATTGAGGCGTTTTGACAAAGTGGCGCCGCGCCTGATTTTTTTTTTTTTTTTTTTTTTTTTTTTTTCTCTCACACACACACACACACACACACACACAATAACATCAACAAATAAACTAGGGGCTGCGCACCCGTGCCCTCACGGTAAATCAATTTACAATTGCACTTCAGACACCCTACCTGGCCAGAAAGGTGGGTTATATTCATTGACCGAACTGCCATTCAAAACTGTATCTTGGCTCATAATGCAATTATAACTCATTTTAAGAAATTGAATATAATTAATGAACATAAAGCAACAGAGATTGCAAGACAAGCAGATTATCAAAAATACGTCTTGAAAGGTAAAAGTAAAGTAGGCACGGAGTGAAAGGGGAAAAAGGGGATGGCATGTTACGTGGTGGGGGGAGGAACACATCCTTTTACAAATGCGACTTTACATTAAAAAAACTAGGGTATAGAAAGAAGAATCTCACCCAACCCCATGTGGGGAGGATGGGAAATCGGTCTGGCCAAAAGGGAGGGAAAAAAAAAACGAATTTCCTAAAATGAAAACAAAAAACAAAAGTAAAAAAAATACGGTTGATAAAGAATGAGACACCCCCCCCCCCCTCTTCATGAATCAAACAATCAGGAGAGGATGAGTTGGACTAGAAAAAAACAATAAATAAATTCGGTAAAAAAAAAAAAACGGGAAAATATTAAATTTCATGAAGAACAAAGTAAAAAAAAAAAAAAACAATCGATAAAAAAAGACTCCGTCTCCCCAACCCTTCGGAAGTCGAACAATCAGGACAAATATTATTATATCGAGGTTGAGCAAGGCCCAAAGGGGGTTACTCTCACAATATGTCGTGAAAAATGCTCTCTGGAGTCCCGAGCATCCAAGCAGGGTCTAAGCTTTGCAGCATCATTGAAAACATTGTTTATGAAAAATAGAGTAAGCAAGAAGGTCATAGAGCTTTTTGTCCCTATAGTTCACACTTTCACACAACAGGGTACCAATATTCTTACTAACGGATTTATCGACAATTTTCTTGAGATTCCAATGATTCAAGTACAGGACCGATAAACAAATCAACAGACGTTTTGGCTTATTGTCTGCGATTTTAAAGGGTATGGGTGAGATAACTATGTTGCAAAAACCGAAAATATGACGTCGGTTATTGGATATCTCACAAGATGAAAAAATCATGATCCCCATTTCCTTTTCGAGTTTGGTATCGTTGGAAGGCTCGAGGAGGCAATGAATGAAACTAAATATACACTAGCTCCTACTAGCCTCATTGTTATCTTTTAATATTATCTCGTTGTCTTAAATCCATGTGGAAAAATCTCACTGCAAGCACATTGCAACATCAATTGCCCTCTCGGGATCGTCCAATGCCAAAAAACAACTAGCATGGTTGCACCCTACTATGG